TCTTTTCTCCTGTGATTAGACATACTTCAATCAGAGCAAGTCTTGCATTAGTAGCTTTTTGGGATTTGCATTTGGAGCAGATGGATGTTAAACTGCTTTCTTGCCTGGTGATCTGGAGGAACATATTTACATGAAGCAACCAGAAGAGTTCACTCAACCTAGACAAAAGCATCTGGTTTGCAAGTTAAAGAAATCGCTGTATGGGTTGAAGTAGTCTCCAAGACAATGCTACAAGTGGTTTGACTCCTACATGATTCAGATTGGCTACAAGAGATGTGAGTATGTGAAGAGCCTTGATGATCGTTCTATTATTTTTCTGTTACTGTATGTTGATGATATACTGATTGCTGCAAAGAATATGAATGATGTCCGTGGTTTGAAAGCTTTATTAAGCCAGGAATTTGACATGAAAGACTTGGGTCCTACGAAAAAGATTCTTGGAATGGAGATTCATCGAGACAGATGTTCAAGCCGATTATGTTTATCTCAATGAGGCTATGTTGAGAAAGTGCTTGAAAGGTTTGAGATGAGCAAAACAAAGCCTGCAAGCACTCCTTTGGCAAATCAATTTAAGCTTTCTTTAGAACGGTATCCTAAGAAAGATACATAAATCGAAGACATGACAAATGTTCTATATGCCAGTGCACTTGGCTGCTTGATGTATGCAATGTTATGTACTCATCCTGATTTGGCTCATACTGTTAGTCAAGTTTTCAAATACATGACTAAACTTGGAAGGCGACATTGGGAAGCAGTCAAGTGGATTTTCAGGTATCTGAAGGGTATAGGACATGGAATTATTTTTGGCAGTCAGCAGAATGATCCTTCAGTTGTGGGGTATGTTGATTCAGACTATACATGTGATTTGGATGGCAGAAGGTCTACAACTAGATATGTGTTTACTCTTGCTGGAGGGCCTATATGTTGGAAATCAACAATTCAGTCTATTGTGACATTATCTACAACTGAAGCTGAGTACATGACAGTAGCTGAAGCTGCTAAAGAAGCCTTATGGCTTGTTGGGCTAGTAAAGGAACTGGACGTTGAGTAAGGTGGAGTTTAGTTGCATTGTGACATTCAGAGTGTTATTTATCTGGCTAAGAGCCAGGTGTACCATGCGAGAACCAAACACATTAATATCAGACATCACAAGATTAGAGAATTGATTGTATCTGGGGGGATATTGTTGCAGAAGATTCATAATGATGAGAATGCAGCTGATATGTTGACCAAACTAATTACTATAAACAAGTTCTTGCATGGCTTGAACTTGTTGAATGTCTGCAGTTGTTAGAGAAGCATGGTGGCCCAACCCACTTCTAGTATGAAAGGAACTCCATGATGTATTTCTCCTAAAGGGCTGGATATTGGCTAAGATAGAGATGTGTTAGATATGACTTATATACCATAAATGGACAGTGCTAAATCAGGAGCGGAGCAGAGAGGAACATTCTGTCCAAATCAGGGGAGTTTCCTTATGTGGGTTGGGGGTGTGGTACATGGGTAATTTGGTAATTACATATTGTACACAAGGTTTCCTTTTTTTATGTGCTTTTTAGAGTTATAAATTAAGCTCGTATGTAACCCTAGGGATTATCCCCTGAATTTTGTATTCTGTACTTTTTCAGAATTAGTGAAAAGCCGCCGCTCTGCTCCCGAGGACGCAGGCATCTTTGCCGAACCTTCGTTAAATCAAATCTCTTTGTGTTCTTCTGGATTTGTGTCGTTCTTGTTTTTCTTTGCCATAATTTTCTCAACACTGAGAAACTTCTATCATCCTCTCTCTCAGTCATTGAGTCCATGTGGCTTAACGGAGACGCGGAATTCTTATTGGGAAACCCTAAACCATCTATTGCAGACCTTAGTCTTGTTTGGGAAATTTCGTAATTTGAGCTTTGGCGCGAGGGAGATCGTGAGAGAATACTCGGTCCTCACCCAAAGATATTGCAGTGGGTTGAAAATGTAAAGAAGGCTACTAATTTTTATTTTGATGAAGTTCACGATGCGCTTTACAAAACGAAGGCCTTGTTGAAGGCAAAGCAAAGCGAGTAAAAAACCTTCAAACGATGTTGAAGCTGGATAAAACGTTGCTATCGTGGACCGCTGGTGCAGGTTATCTGTCAATGTTGTATTATAGGCAGGTAATTCATGTATTTCAAACTGTTATTGGTAAGTTCTGTTGTATAACATGCTAGGCATGACTGATTATTATTATCAGGCATTGCAAACTTTTCAAGACATTGCAAACTTTTTAAGACTGAATATATATATATATATATCTACATATCTACATATCTACATATCTACATATCTACATATCTAAATATATACATATATATATATGTATATATATACACATATATATATGTAGATATGTAGATATGTAGATATGTAGATATGTAGATATGTAGATATGTAGATATGTAGATATGTAGATATGTAGATATGTAGATATGTAGATATGTAGATATGTAGATATGTAGATATGTAGATATGTAGATATATATATATATATTCAGTCTTAAAAAGTTTGCAATGTCTTGAAAAGTTTGCAATGCCTGATAATAATAATCAGTCATGCCTAGCATGTTATACAACAGAACTTACCAACAACAGTTTGAAATACATGAATTACCTGCCTATAATACAACATTGACAGATAACCTGCACCAGCGGTCCACGATAGCAACGTTTTATCCAGCTTCAACATCGTTTGAAGGTTTTTTAATCATGCTCTTTTTGGCCCCATCATGATAGTCCAACCCATGTGCCTAAAATTTCAGAGCCCTGGTGCAACAGTGGATCGAACTTTTAAACTAAGGGGACTTACAGTTACCCCGCTACCAAGAGAACAAGGCCTGCGGCGCGCGCACACACACAGATATATATATATATATATG